CTATAAATTTTTGCATATATAATAAACTATGAATCAATTAATATCATAACTATGTACATTTAAATAAAGTCATGTAATTTTTTCAGCTAATTTTTTATTGTCTTCACACTGTCACAAGTAGAGAACCATGAAATGAACTCTCTGCATTGAACCCATCTCCTTGCGGAGCAGTGGGCTGCCATTGTGCGGCACCCGGGGAGCAGTGTGGGGTTAAGGGTCTTGCTCAGGGACCCAGAGTGGCAGTCTGTGGGAGTGGGGCTTTAACTCAGAACTTCTGGATTCCCAGTGCAATTCCCTAACCACTAGGCAGCCACTCCCCTTGATATAGAGATGAAGGATTTAGTTAGAAAGAAAGGGGCTCACTGGCTGACTTTGTGGTAAAGTTGTGCGATTCCCTGGTGAGTCCAGTCTTTCCCAAGTGTTGGTAGGATGTGACCCAATGTGTCGGACCTGGAAATAAGTTGAGAGACATTTTTCAGTTAGTTAAACTGAAATGGGCAGAGACCTTGTCAAACAACAGCATGTTTTAGGGTGAATTTTACTAGCAAAGACACTGCATAAATCAGAGCCCAACATCAAGTCAAACAATCAACTGTCCAAAGATGTGGGTGTTAATGGGGCAAACTGTTATTCCACTTTGCTTTTACTCCAAATACGCTTCATTTCTTTTCAATAAGCACATTTAATTTGTTAATGCTTCCAACACCTGGTAATGGTTCCGTCTATATCAGATATGATGATCTTGTCATCCCAGTTCCAGAGGTAGATGGTTCCCTGACAGCGACAGGTTCCCTGGTACTGAGTGGTCACACTAAACACAACATCATTAGGACCGTCCTGAAGTTGAAGTGACAGCTGGATGTATGGGATGGATAGGAGGAAACAATGAAAGAAAGAAATTAAACACACATTTCAGCTAAACGGAGAGGAGGATTCTGCTGAAAGCTGTAGACAAACTGGAGTCCTCACCAGCTGCTCTGATGTGAGGCGGAGCGTTTTCTTGTAAGACACACCCCTTGAAGAGACCCCAGGTTCTGATTGGATGATGGGAGAGCTTTGCATGGTTGCAATGTGATCTTCATCACTAGATGATGTCTCTTCTTTAAGCCTTTGATGAAAGAGATTATATATTAAAAGATTGAAATTGCACAGATTGATCTGTAGAGAAGTTATTGTTTTAGTAGTTTAGTTAAAAACTGATAGATTTCCCATATTTATTTCTGTCATGTCTTACAGCAAAGAGCTGTTGCTCTGCAGTTTTAATCAATAATAACATAAATAAATTGTAAAATGATGTATCAGTCTGTGTGCAATGAGTGTATTATTAAGCAATTTTCACTTTTTGAACTGGGCTACTAAAATAGAAGAACTTTTGGGTAATATTCCAAATGTATTAAGATGGATGGATGTTTTCTAGGGGAGAATTTTTACTGACCTGCTTTTCATTATTCCAACTTGCTCAGTAGTACCACACGCCCCACATTCAGCGACGGACTCCTGAACAAAACCGTTCATGCTCATTGAAAATCAAATGGCCTGAAACAATGCTCTATTAGGAGTGAGGAGAGTAGAAGAGCTTACTGATTTCTGGTTATTTCTGCCTCGCCAGGAGAACCACCACCTCCCTCCTTTCCTGGGCATTTTCTCCTTCATGATGTTCTCCACTGTGGCCTGAGGAGGAACACGGACAGCCCAGAGATCCACAACACAACATTAAAACTGAAACTTAAAAAAAGCTGATTATAAATCAACAAACGGTGAATCAGAAATAAGCCTTCACCTTAACCAAAAAAACCAAACAAACAGTGAGACGAGAGAGAGAGAGTGAAAATAAATAAAAACAGAGAGGGAAGAGTCTTCAAACATACAGAGGTGGAGCTGACGATATCAGTCAGACAACAGAGGAGGAACTCCAAGGATGAAAGTAAATAACTGAGACATGAGGACTAATGTGAGGAAGGAGGAGGAGAGACAGGATGAAACAGGAGGAGCAGAGAACAGAGGGGAAGACATGTTTAAGTTGGCTCATTTTACCCAACAGTATATGGCTGCCAAATATATCAACTTGAGAGCCACAAAGCAGTGTTGGAAAAGACCTACACTGATAAAATAATCTTAAAATGAGAAAAATATTTCTTAAAATTAGTGACTTTACCCTTAATTTGAGAGGGTAAATAAGTTGAAATCAGTATGTTTAGCCTTAGAATAAGATAATATGCACTTGATATAAGAGACTGCAGTTGTTTCTTTCTTATTTTAAATGTTAATTGTCTTGTTCCACTGGCAAAAAGTCACACTTACCTGCTCAATTCAAGAGAAAATGCACTTAATTAGGGTTTTTTTTGTTGCAGTGTACTAGTATTACAAGCCAGCCAGCTTAACTAATATTAACTGATTTGATTTCTCAGGAGAATGTTTTAGACTGAATATTTATTGTTAAATTGAGTCTGGACTAATTGTAGAGCATAGCACAGAAAGATATAAATCAATCCGTTCTAAATGCTCTAAGTCATTTGTATCTGGATGTGTGTGTGCCATCACCTTTTACCTTTGGCAGAGGTTTCTGAAAGGCTTGCATGGCGAGCACGAGTGGAGCCGCCGTGCTCCAATTATAGTACCTGAAGAAGACAGCATGTTATTTATTCATTGGATCAAGTAATGCATTTAAACAGTGATAGTTAGAAAATACTCTATATATGTTTTCATTTACACAGTCAGGGTTAAGTCACATTTTGCAAATTCTTGTATAACATATTTAAGTTTCTTACTTTGTGCCGATTTTAACCACCAGGTTTGGATCATCTATGATGGAAGGGTTTTCAGCAAACTGTTGATAGGAGATGATTTTATCATAGAATTGCTCTAAAAATAAAAACAGATAGGGAGAACAGGTTCTAAAAGCTGCACCACTTTATAGGACGTGTCTGTTGCAGTAGTTTTGTCGCTTGTGATAACGTACCTTTAGTAATCTCCTTGTTGTCAGTGAGCCCCCCACACAGAGAGATGGCCATAGATGGCAGGTCAGACATGGGGTCACAGTAGCTGTCCACACCGCTGTCTCCCCCTGAGCTCATAGACTGTGGGGACAAACTGGTGCTGTGAAGCCCCGGATCAGAGATACTTCTCATGGTGGACGAGCTCTCACTGCAAGCAGAAATGTTTAGATTACAAAGCTACTTCAGAATGACCGTTGTGTTAAAACACTGTTATTACACATGATCTGGGTGCATGTATCTGTTTTTGTACCTTTTAGGGAAATATAGGGCAGCCACCTCCGGCTCCAACTCTGTGATGTCGTCCAAGTAAATTCCATCAGAACCAAGATGGCGGCTCCTTTTGTCTACAGAAAGTTCAGAATAAAATCAGGTTTTTGTCATTTATACTTCAACAGAAGATCAAGAGCTTAGGAAGACAGCAGTGTGGGTCTGGTTGACTTAAAGTTAAAATGGGAAACTTAAATATTTGTATAGGTATGTAAGGCTTTGTATTCATGATGCACTTTGCTACTTTGGCGTGGTTATGAATTAAATCTATGAGATTTTTCTTTCTTCAATGTTGTAGATAAGCTTAGTGTTCCTAAGTAACTTTGTTTAAGCAAAACAGCTGGTTCTTCATCCAAAGTGAGGTATCCTGATTAAAACAGGGATAAAACAGCACTGCTTGCCTGTCAAGATAAATTCTGAGCAGACTATAGATACTTTCTCCTTTATGAACGAGCCGCACTTTTACCTTTTTTCTTTGACGGAGAATCTGTTTTAGTGGATGTGCAAGCAACTGTTTCCTCTGTTTCAGTCACCCTCTGCATTCCCGACCCTCCAGATGCAGTCATCTGCGTCTCTGAAGCTGATATCTGGGCCTCCATCCTAATGGATTCAGACTCCATCCTGACTCTGACCGCCTTTTCCTTTTTGACTTCTGTCTCCTCTTCAGTCAGCAGACTGGGAGCTTGTATTTTAGAGCATGGTTGGTCTGATGGTGCTTGATGAGGGATCGCTCGGAAATGTGTATTTTCGGACATGGGAATGGATACAGGATAAGGACGTGGCGCAGCAGCCTTCAGTGAAAGAAACGAAGGCTATAGAGGTGGAAATGAGACGTACTTGTATTAAACAATAAACAAGGCAACATAAAATAGTCATTTTATAGTATTAGAAAGTCGTCCGATTTGTCTGCATACCGCAGCAGCCTGAGGCAGCTCTCCCCACGCCCAGTGCATGGCTGGATTCTGACTATGTGCATCTGATAGATTGGTGATCAGCTCTGAGTCGCTCTTTGGAGAGGTGGGGCGAGAGTTGTCCCGGCTGAGAGGAAGAGATAAATTTAATTACACATCTATTTATGAAACTACAGACCCTTTCAAATATCTTGGAAGCATTTTGGAAACATGTGAAAAGAATTTAATTTGCAGTAGCATATTGTTACACTAAATCTAGCTTTGAACTGAACGCAGTCCTTAAAATCAGAAATCAGAGAATCTAAAGAGTTGGATATACGAGTTTTGCAGCTTCAAGTAAATCATGGGAGGGTGGTAGAATTACCTGTGGATTGGGCTCCAGTCTCCATCTGAACGAGTGTGGATCCCAGCCTGTTTGAAAGAACATTTGCCTGAAACTGCTCCTGTTTCCTCTCTCAACGCGTCCCTTGATAAAGATCTGCAGGAGAAGCAGAATTCCTGAGCTTGTGTCATGTAGTCAGTTTAGGAACCAGGTTCGGTTTTCAGTTGCTAAAAAATGCATCTGTGCTTTTTAAACTCATTATTAAGCATTATTTAAAATGACTAAAAGGTTTACTTGTGTTCAGCTAAACGCTGAACTCTTGCCTGCCAGTTCTTCTCCTCATCCTGCACCATAGCTCTGTCTAAAACTCTTCTTTTCTCCATTATTTAATTATATTAAATCTCACTTCTTCTGATAAATGCTTTGCCACATCTCTCATTCTCCCTTCACTCTGCTGCTTCCTACCTGCCGCTCTCCATTTCCGTCTCTTCATCAGAACTGATGTCTATTGAAAACATGTCTTCATCAGCCGAGTAGTCTCCACTCTCTCCCCTCCTTGCGCTGTCTGCCCGACTCTTTCTCCTCCTTTTCCTCCTCTTTTTTATCGCCCCACTGCTCTCGCCATTGCTCCCTAAGGGGCACAGGGTCTGTATAGGAGGTCCGGTGCTCTTCCCCATCAGAGGGGAGCTCATTGAAAAGGCAGCGTCTGACAAGATGGGAGAGGTAGCCAGATAGGAGGGAACTACTTCCTGTTAAGATCATAAACACAAGGAAGAAGATAAAGGTTACAGATAGGCTTACCTAAAGACACAGACTTTAAAGTAATGAAGCATGAAAAAAAAAAAAGCTTTTGAGCCCTTTTAAAATAAATAAAACCCCTAACCTTAATGCTTTCTGTCTCTAGGTATGGAAAGCCCACAGAGAAACATCTACACACCCTATGTGATACTAAGGTCAGAAGTGGGATTACACTCAAGGAAAGGAGGGGAATGTTTTTTTTTTTTTTTTACTGCTACAGGACCTGGCCTTGTAACAAGGTCCACCAAAGATCAAAAGCAGTGGATGATGATGCTAAGTTTTATGAAGCCCATTCCCAAAGCGTATGATTAGCCTGATTTAATCCTGTTCAAAACTAGTATTGATTTGGGTTTGGGGGCAATTATTCCTGCTGGTAAACTCAGCATGTTCAATTTCAGCTGTCTATCCACTGGTTTACCAAGGGAAATTTAAGCAAACAGAACAAAAGAAAGGAAAAAGAATATTTATAATTGATAAATGTACAATTATAGAGGTTTGTTTTATAAGTTCTTGCCATAAACACCCATTTGAAATATGTTAATTTACGGTAATTGTCCTGGACTGTATAACTTAAGCAGCAGTTAAGCAATGCATTAAGGAGTTTAAATATGAACACACATTGATACGCTTTTATAATGCTTTAATCTTGCTTTCAATAAATGTAAGTTAACAAGTATGCCTTATACCCACTAGAGGGCAGCTCTGGGCGAGCTTTTCAATTCAGTGGAACTTTTCAGACAAAACAAACATGGTGATGCAGAAGGAAATCTAGAGATAAAAAGAGGCACAGCATTAGTTGAAGGTTCTCTTTGTGTTGTGGATGGAAAAAGCCATTCCACTAATTGCAGATGACTCACTCTGCCACACTGATTACTGCGGTATTAATTATTATTTGTGTTTGGATAAGCATCATCAAGCTCTCTGACAAAGATGATAAACTAGGTATTTAACAATGACCACAAAAATAAATAGTTGATCTAATTTGCACTTTACATTATTTGTTTCAAATGTATGTATTTGCTGAGTTAATAATTATAATACATGCAAAACAGAATATGTTTCACAGCTTTGTAAAGGATGTTTTTCAGACTCTTCAACAAGCTGCACTTCCATGAAAAGAAAATACTTTCTAGGAAAAGCTGTTTTCTTTTTTTTTTTTCCATAAATGTGTAGAACTATGTGGGGAAGAAGAGAAAAACTCCCTCATGTTTTGCTCCCTTGTGTGAAAAAAGTTGGTTAAGAAGCTCTAAACTCCTCCTTCTCTCCTCTTTGCTCCTTTAAGCCTGGGAATCTGACACCAGTCTGGGGAAAACACATCACCCACATCCGCTGTTAGAGCCAGCCTTTTATTACTGCTGGTTGGCCACACTTTTACCAGGATCAAAAATAAATATTAAAAAGTGCCATTCATTAAAAAAAAAAAAATAACATAAGAGCCTAAACTGTTTAAGCTTACTTGCAAAACAAAACCATGAAAATCCAAAGTAGTGGTGGAAGATGCAAAACAGCTTCTGTAAACACTGAAGTAGAGCTATTAATGTTCCTAAAAAGGGTGCAAACAATTAATATATTCAAATTATAAATATGCATTTCTTCAACTTAAATTATACATTTAAATCCAGAATGCTAAATTCAGGAAATTCTACAAGCATATTTCTGTTATGAGATGTAGGGTTGCAACACTGTCGGAAATACAGGTAAAATGGCTCAAACAGTAAATACCCCCTTTATAAGCCCCCCCTCACTGGTGAACAGACGGAGGCTGTTTTTAAAAAGGGAGAGGAAAAAAAAATCCAGCCTGCAGTGCCAACTCTGCACACAGTGTGATCCTTCTGGATCTGTGACGAAATGTAAGGAAGATAACTGTTTGAGCCTTTGTGATGACATGTGGGCTGAGTGGAGCCTGGCCTGCTTGGATTCAAACTGCAGAGAAAATCTTCTGGAAACGGTAAACAGCTATGTTTATTATTGGAGCGAAGGCGGTGGTTCTGCGGGAACCAAAGAACCGCAGGGAGAACGTATTTCTCTGGTCATTACCTGATCGTTTTCGGTTTCTTGCACAAAAAAGGCCTCTCCGTTATCGCCAAGCTTCATATGAAGATCCACCGATTCTCCATTGATTTCAATGTCCACCTAAAAAAAAAATAAATAAGTAAATTTCTAATCATGAACAAAAAAAGATCCCCTATTACCTCCCCCCATAAATCCCCTAAAGCCTCCTCACCACTTTCTCTCTGGAACGGAGGACTCCCATTTTGCCGAAGCGAACATGGAAAGGTGAGCAATGCAGGGAGCCATCCGGCTGTCTCACCACGATGACGTCGATGCAGCCAGAAAGCGTTGCAGGGTTAAGTCCTCGGTACAGCTCTTTGACCTGGACAAACACCTGGCCTGCAAGCTGACCCACGTAGTTCATGGTCTGACGGGTCTGTAATTAATAAATGTGAAGATAACATAGGAAACAGAAAAAACAAAACAAAAAAAAAACGGTTTAGCTGCTAGCTATCCATTCATAACAGACCAGTAGAATTTGTGAAGTGGAAGAACATGATGCAGCCATCACCGTGCCTCACTGTAAGGAGATTAATACCACGTTCCACTGGTTTGAAAACTTTTGCAAGTCACCATATGGGGAGCCATTTATTGCTACTTTACATTCCCATCCTTTAGTGTGGAAAAGGTATCCGACTGTTTTCCATTCAGCAACACCAAACACCAGCAAACAGACCAAGATAAACCAGCCTCTCTTTCATCGATTGTTTCATCACAGCTGTCCCTGTCTAGATTTACACCATGACATTGAGAACAGCAAGACCTAGACTGAGCCGCTGAAATGTTAAAAACAGCATGTTTATCACTGAAGCACTGTTTTCCCCTGAAGTGTTAGTGCTTCTTCTTAAAGCAAATGTAAATATTGAGGTATATGTAAGGAAATAAATGTTTGGGTGGGGTAAGGAGATCTAAAATAAACTGAATGTAGGTGTCTCAATGTTTAAAACAAACAAGATGAATCTGACTTTGAAAACTGATCACCCTATATGAGACTATTCATGGTTCTCCACTCCCACTTCGTCTCTTATATGCCCCAGACTTCCAAACACCAGGTCAGACTATAAAAAGCTGTACTGAGAGGTGTTTATTGTAAATAACCTTCATCTCTGCTGATCCTAGAAGGGTTGTTACAGAATGCTGAGCAGCTCAGTCTAAAAATAGGCTGTCTTCTGTGAGAAAAAAAAAAAGAGGAAGAGTTGCTTTAAATGCACTTAGCAGTAAGTTTACACTTGAGCCCAAACTGTGAGCTTAATATGCTGGTTAGTTTACAGTCTGCAGTTTAACATGACCAGGACTGGTCCACTCAGCAGATATTATAGACTGAGCCTTTTGTTCTCAGCCCCAGTCTCATCTTACAACACAGGCTGGAGATTTACCACATCCATTTATATTCAAGTTCCCAAGTTTTAAATGGAAATGATTACTAAATGAAACAATAGATAATTACAAAATGAACCAACACATGTCAGCACACGTGCATGCAGGCATGCAGCCAATCAGCTCCCTAAAAAAACAACATTTATTTGGAAAACAATTAATCCCTGGGAATATAGTTAGAGATTTTACATATATTTATGCTTATAGTCAGAAATAAATGACATCTATTAATGATAATAACGGTTTAAGAACATGAGTATGACATCTCTGAGCAAAGTAGTAAAAATTTTCATTCTTGCAAATAAAAGAACAGACTGAGAAATGCAGTGTGTTTATATAAGCAGACACATACCTGTTTGTAATGAGTATGCCAGCTTTAACATGCAGGAAGGTGCGATTCTTTAATTGAGAGCCAAACAGAGACAATGCAGAGTTCCAGTTTCTCAACAGATTCTCACATTTCCGGATTTTTTGTGTTAAAGAGCCGCGATGGATTATTTTTTAAATGAAAGCGAGTCTCTGTTCTTCATCTGTGTTTGTTCTCTTTAACTCTTCACGTTGCTTGTGGGAGCATGACGTCAGATGCAGCAAAACCCACCAGCCTGTCGGCCAATCAGCTTCCACCTGGTGAGCTTACAAACAGGTATGGCAAATCATTTGTATATATATTCCCACTCAACAGCTTTTAAGTTTCTGATGCAGAACTCCTTCCAACTTCTTGGCTTAATTTTTTTTTCCCCCACCCTGTAATCAGTTAGATACCATGGCAACCCCTAAATAGTGTTAGTATTTGATTTTTCAAAATTTGGTTCTTTAGTCAGTCCCAAACCTGAGGAGTCTGTTGTTAAGTCTGTTGGCACCATGCTTGTCTTTTCATTGTCTTAGTAAATATTTACAGTTTCCAACTAAAGAACTCAAAAAAAAAAAAAGAAAAAAAAGAAAGACGTAAAATAGGACCTGTATTTTAGATATATACAAAATTGCTTTAGCCTAGAGGTGAAATCTTCAACTTTCCTTTGAGTTTAATAAAGATTATTTTTAAAAAAATTTAAACAATTTTAAACAGAACCACTGTTGTTAAGTCCACTGTTTACCCATTTACTTTTATAAACATGACAGATTATTTTCAATGGTCGACACAATATAATACAAAGTAATCTGCCAATGATATAAACCTTATAAGTATGCAATATTATGAGCTATATCTCTACACTGTACAGGAGCAGCATTTGTAATTACTCTCTGTTTTAAAAATGGTATAAAATGTCCCTCTGTTGGGTAGGAACTGACAAAATAAAACCAAAAACAACAACAAAAAAAACTTTCAGGAATCTATTTTATACCAAAAACATTAGCAACATGTTAGCAAACCACAAAATGGTGATTATCACCAAAACATTCAGAGGTGGTTGTACTGTATTTATTATTTATTAACTAATTATTGAAAAACTAAAGTACCATAATATTTACTTTGACTTGAGTACGATTATTATTATAGGCTAGTCCTATTGAGTAAAACGTTTGGCTTCTCTCTCCATCATGAGTAGTTCCACTAAATGAAAACCAATTGGGACTAATCCAAAATTGCTCCAAACACAAGCACACAGAAAAGGTTTATGCAAAAACAGGTTTTGGAAAGTAAGTCTGTTTTCAATCCACTAAGGTTTCAATAGCGTTTGGAAGGGGAAGATAAACAGAAGATAGTCCCCCTGTAGGTCCTTAAAGCTGTCCTAAACATATCTATATTACTTAATCTAAGTCCTTGTCTAATTGATTTTATACATTTGATAAATACAACTTTTTTTTAGTTTTTACGGCACTCTTTTTTTATGGACAGTAGGCTGACAGGAAAGGGGATATGAGAGAGGAGGAGAGACATGCGGGAAAGGACCACAGGCTTGATTCGAACCCGGTAAGCCCGCATAGAGGACTAGGCAGGGGCGGGGCTAGATGGGGGGCCAGGGGTGGCCGAGGCCACTCTTAGCCAATCATTGGCCAACCCTGTGGCCACCCCTACCCTTTATTTCCCTCTAATACAGATGTTGGCAGCAGTAATACTCTCAAGTGGAATATTCAAAACATTTTAATTTTACACATATTACAATTACTTGACAACAAAAACACTGTGGTTAATTATGCTCATTAATATACTATAACTAAAGAAGATAGGTACAGAATTCATGCTCTTTTCAGAACTAACTACCTTTGTCTTTTATGGGTTAAAGAGAAAATGATGTGTGTCCACAAGTCATCTGGGGGTCTTCAGGGAAATAATAGATAAATAACTATTTTAATACAAACATATTAAATAATCAATTTAAGTAGATATTAGTACTTGTAAATATAAATTTTACGTAGAATGATTACTGATAAAAGTAGGTAAGTAATGACGATGGAAAAGATGTTCGCTCAAAACTCAAAACCTGAAAGAATTTTATCCACTATACCTTTTATCTAGAAGGCACGGATGTTTATATATATTCGTCTATTTGTTAGCAAAGGTTGTGGGAAAGTATAGTTTGTCTTTGTTTAGAAAATATGGATGTTTTGCTAATTAATTTTCCTGTTGGAACAGTGTAGATGGACGCTGAGGTTCTGGTGCCTATCTGCTTTTGGCCACCCCTCAGTGTACATTAGTTATTGCCTGGCCACCCTTATAAAACCTTTTCTGGCTATGCCTCTGGGACTAGGGCCTCCATACATGGGTCGTGTGTGCTAACCACTGCGCCACCAAAGCACGCCCCATTCCCATTAATCTAACCAGAGCAATTTTTTAATGTACTTTTTAACTTAAACATGCTTAAGAAGTGTTTATTTTAGTTAGGAACCATTTCTGAGTGCTCTATTCATCTCTGCAAATAATTACACAAACTGCTTGCCATAGCCCTTTCAACTTTCCACAGAAGCGCCTCATTACTTTGTAATAACGGGCATCCAATTGCGCCACCCACTCTTGGTTTTGTAAGGTCAAATAATTTTTTTTTTTACAAAGGCTTAAGTATTTTGTATTTTACATAAAGAAGAAAAACTCCTAAATTGCATGCATTATTTGTTTGATTCTTCTATGTTTTAAATCCACTGGGCATGTATGAAACATTTTAACCTACATTTCCTGCGCGCATTGAGGAAGTTTAAAGAAGAAGGTTGCAGACTGAAGCTTTGCTTTGATGGTGGCGGGAAGCAGTTAGGAGCAACGTCATCGTTTAAAGTCATACAGTGTGAGAGAGAGTGACGCAGTGAGGTGATCTCCTTGGCCAATCACAGCCCTGATTCGCAGCACAGGCGATGTTGGCTGTTAGAGCAACAGACACTCCACCGAGACTGTGGCAAAAGGATGTGGCTGACTGGTGGTTTCAACTTCATGTTTCCTTACAGTTATTAACCAACAGACATTTCTTTAAAAAGCAATCTCTCAACTGTTACAAAAAATAAATAAAAATAAATAAATCTCTTTCCTAGACTCAAAAAGTAGAGACCTTTAGGCCAATGTTTACATGTTCACCCTGTAGCAGCAAGTCTTATGTGTTTTTTCTTAGTTTAACACATTGAAGCGTTACATTGGATTAGATTTTAATTTTGAATTTTCAAAAATGAAACATTGGAGCTCTATTGTTTTTATTTAGGACAGGGGTCTGCAGCCTGCACCTCCAGAGACACATGTGGCTCCTGAGGCCCTCCTCAGAGGCTCTAACTAATCTGGATAAAATATTATTCATAATACAGCAAGCTTTTTTTTTCCTTCTTAATTTGAATAAAAACAGAATTTTTGCAGTGTTTCTATATGATTTGGTTCATTATTTGCATAGAGACTCCAAAGCACAATAAGCTTAACAGTTTAAAAAAGACAATATTTCAGCATTTTTACATTGTTTTCTTTATATTAATCATTAATTAAATACAATTTGTGTTTTTCTTGTTTTCTTGGGATTTTGATTTTGAACTAAAATAGACTATAAAGTGACCCTACACACAAAGACATAGGTGAAATATTTTTTATAAGAGAGAAGTCTCAACAGCAGTTAAATAGAAAATTCAACACAGATTCTTTAATGAAACTATTAAACATATACATTTTGTGCTGTGATTGTATAATAAGCTGAACAGTTGTGGGAGGATTTTATGTAGAATTTATTTACCAGAAATGTTTCTTTGATTTGAAATGGTTGCTATTTGCTGGTTCAGTGTGACAGTTCAGCTGTAAGGTAAACCTCTGACCCAGTTTCAAGTCTCAGTTGACCGGTATGCTATCTTTCACATGTTTGCTGTATCCACCACACAGCTTGTGGCAAACTTTAAATTGTAATTCTACTAACTTATTTTCAAACAGTGTTTATCTCTCCTCTGTTACTTCTAATAAGTGCAGTTTTTTCAGCCGACTTGCACTTCCAGAGTTATGATTCAGCCATTTGGCTGCTACTATTACAAAATACATTGAGCCTTGTGGTTTTGTCTTGCCAAAAAGCATGAATACATTAGCATTTCAAAGTTCTTTGTCAGTCTGTATTCTTGTGTGAGTAACAGCAACTTAAAATCTCGCACCAATCAGGTCTTTCAGGCAGAAGCGTTCATACAAAGAAGTTACAAACTAAACTTGAAGTAGGTGTTTTTCCAGACTGTGAAACCAAAACAAGGAAGAATAATCTTTGTTTGGCTTTTTGGTCATTGGCAGACCAATAATGACTTTAGAGTTTCTATTTACATTAGAAGTTACATTTAAAAAATCAGTTGAAGTGACAAGGTGATATGACAGAGTGGTTTTGTGAGCATTTTAAAAGTCTGATCAAATAAACCTCTAACGCTGATATATATTCTATTGATTTTCAAACCAAGTAGGATACCACTTATTTCAATTCATGTTTAAGCAATGTGCTTTGGTGCTGACAAATCAAAGCTCAGGCCAAAGCAGTGCATAAATATTGACCCACTTGGGTAAGGCTACTAACAAAAGCCATAAAATAGATGTTAAGAAAAAAGTTTGGTGATGGAAAGATGAAATTTTTTGGTGAAGTTCTTTAACAAGGAGTTTTGGGTTTCTCTTTCATGCTCGTGTTATCTTCCTAGTGGATAAACTCGGTTTCCTTATTGAATGTAATCTGTCACTGGTCTAGTTGTTTAAAAATTCTAAATGCAGATATGAGCAAGTTTGTATAGCAATAACAAAGCGGAACTTGAATTAAAGTCACTTTGGGCTGCTGTCATTAATAAGTGTGTTTAAAAAAAATACTGTTTGGTGTTTAAGGTCTACGGTTGTGTAAGATAGCCCTAATACATATACATGTGATCGTGTAGCTGTATTATAGTTTTTAAAAAATATATTTTATTGACTATTATGTACAATTTTCCCCAACTTTTAATTGCTAAACCCCCATTTTATTAACAAGATACTTTTAAGTTTCCCTGACCAAGTGTTTAAACAATTAAATAAAAAATGTCAACTGAAATAACACAAATTTAGCTATTATAAATAACTTCAATCATTTTAAATCATCAAAACTACTACCTTTAAAGTGACAGTGAGGAACGTTTGACCCAAAAAGAACTTGATTTGAGTAAGATTAAATTAGATTCAGAATGTGTTATGGTTCTTATTTGTTGTGACTCTGAGTTTTCAGTTTTCTGTTATCAGTTGTTTTGTTTTTATTTTCCACTATCTTCAAGCATTCTTTCGTTACTCTCTGTTGCCCCCTTGTGATTGT